TTTTTTTCTTTAATGAATACTACAAAATTAAATTAAGGGTAATGGGTATTAGCAGGTACCTCAACATTGTACCTATGTTTTTTAAAAAACAACACAGGGCTTTACAAAATATTATTTGAGGTACCCAAGCACTATTAGGCATATCATTATTTATTTTTGAGAGACTTTATTTCTAAATTATACTTATATAAAAGTATAAAATCTTAATTTTTAACTATTTTTTTATAATTCTTATACATACTAATTTAAATTATAAATATTTAAGAGACAATGCACACAAATTACTTGTCTACCTATTACTTATTTTTGTTGATTATAGGATTTAAACAAGAATATAATGAATTGATGAAACAAAAAAATGAAAATATTCAGTCCATTAAAAGTACAATAAAAAATAATAGTATAACATCAATATCATCAAAGATTTATAGCAAAATTATTGAATCAAGTAATATTAATTTAAATTCTTCGGATGAATTTTCGATGTCAAATTTAACTGAAATGAGTTCTAATAATACAATAGAACTAGCCGTAGAAATTGATAGTGACACATACACGATAAATGATTCAAACATTGATATCTGTAAGTATATATAGAAAAATAGGATACATTGCTTTTGTATACATCAACATGTAGACAATTTTCTTAACTGCCCATAATAATTACATAAGTAGGTAAGTATCGATATTTAATCGAGATATTAAAATTTTTTTCTAAAATAAATTGGTTGTACTATTCATAATGACTCTATTAACATAGTATGATATCTATTGCCTACCTATTTTTGATAAAAATTATTTTAATTTTATTTAAAGAAAAATGATGGAAAAAGTAAATCTTAAAAACAAAGTAGGTATAATAGCTTCTCACCTCATCTATAAAGTATAAATGTACTATTATTAGTATTATAAATTATTATCATAATGATTTATATTTTTTCAATATATTCTTATTGCTGTAAGATTGTAAGATCAAACAAAATTCAAAAATTTTAAGCGTTATTAAATATGTATTAAATAAATTCAAAATATTTTTTGAATTAGATTTACTATACCTACACAATGTTAATGAAAATGGTGATAATTGATAACAATATCGCGTACCTAGAGTTATACATTTTCTATCTACAATAAAACAAAATCGATATGGTTTTACATAATTATTACTATATATTTTTCCATAACTTTTGTTTGTTTTCCCCAATTGTTTTGAAAATTATATTATGTTTAATCGTAATCTGCTAGAGTACCAATTACATCCAATTTTCATCCAGAAACCTCCCAAAAGTGATAAAGCTCTAAATCGTGACTATAAAAAATAAAACCCATATTATTGTAAAACATAAAGATACTATTAACGCGTATTGCTAAGCTCTAAATTAAAAAGTTACGGTATATTTTATTAATAAAATATAAATTAATTTTCTACTTGTAGATCAAGATCTCAAAAAAAAGGAAAATTCATTTAGTACAAATTTATTGAAAAAAAAAAATAATAAAAAAATTTCAAGTAATTATAATAACTATAATGATCAATACTTCGATAAGCATGGACAGTGTAACAAAGAAAACCTAGGATGTCTTCATGCTGAAAGCATAATAAAAAATTCTCAGGAGAATCAAAAAAATGAAAATATCCAAAAGCACGAAGAAGGTAATGAATTAAAAATTGTATTAGAACATGTAATAGGTTTATGTAACTTATGAAATAAGTACTTCAGTAAYAGCCAATAGGTACATAACTAAGTCATGTAGATTTTGAGTTGATTGACCAAACATATCGAAAAGCTGGTGCCAACATCACGTGATACTGGCACCCGTAGGTAATGTTAGGATTTGAGAACAAATTGAAAAAATCTCCAATTTTCTTCAGAATTCCTAAATTAAAAAAAAATTCTGAAAAGACGGGTTGGAAAATGTCTCAGTTTTCCCCGCTCTGCGAGTCTATGGATATATTCCATAGTCTATTGTTACGTATTTCTCTTTATTCAATCATGTCTATTATTATTTAATTAAACATTTAGTATCTTGGTAATATCAAAGTTATTTTAATATAATATAGATTTTCATAAAATGTGTAGGTACCATGTGTTATTATATAGTATAGTCAAGGTGGATCGATTAATCCATCTTGTGTATAGTAGTACCTACACTGTATAATATCCACAATGTTTAAATAGATAACATTTATTTTTACTTTATCAATCATAATATTTCATAATTATTTAAAGCTATATCTATAAATCTATTTCACTTATATAATTATATTGGTTTTGAGTTTTTGACCAAGCCTCAAAAATGTCCTATTAAAGTATCCATGCAATATTATTTTTACTGCAGGTATTTTAGATTGAGCAAAACAATATCATTCTTTAAGGTTATAAATATTAAATCATTTTAAGAATTAAAATTTKTATGCCTACTTACAYATGGCTCAATTATTAATTATTATTAAAATACAAAATAAAAATACTGATACCTACTTAATACATATTTAAAGCTCTAGGTCCTACCTATTTTCTGTTTATATAGATTGCATCAAATTTTATGGAATGTTGGTTGAACTTAATAATGAAATCATAAAATTAAAAGAACTGTTTTCAAACAATACAGATTCTAATTCATTTTTAAATACTATTAACTTTAATAATTATAACACTAATCAGTCTACTGACATTATTGAAATGTCTGCTGGTGAAGATTTTATTGATCATAAAGAATATCGTTCATATCAACAAAATACATTTGTCGAGAAAATGGTGCACACAAATTTCACTGATCATGACTTGTATTCTGAAAGTGAATTTGATTCAAATCCAATTATATTTAATGGAGTTAATTACAATAATAAGGATTGTACAAATGCAAATTGTTCTATGTATTCKTACAATTCTTATTAGTATAATGCATGTAAAAATCCATATTATGGTTGTCAATGTGGAATGACTTATAATAAAAATTATTATATGTTTTTATGTTAGTGTACATTTCAATTAATTGTATTTTATAAGATAATTTTTTTCACTGCCTAAAAAATAATYGTGATTCAGAAAGGCTGCATACTAATTATTATGGATAAATTTTATTGTTCAAGTCAATATAAAAATTGCGAACACGGGTTTCATCATCATTATACTAATTGTGGACATACAATTTGAAATTAGGCCAACCTAATAATGCAAGTTGTGGACACAAATATTTCCTTTCGCCACTTTTCAGGTATTAGAACAAGCCACAAAAAAAAAAAAAAAGAGAAATCTAAATTACCTATTCTTAGATCAAACATGTTTTTTATAAAACATATATTGCCTTCATGGTGGAATATTGTGAATGTTTTTTTATGAATTTAACATCATCATTCAGTATTTGTGGCAAACAATTTTTTTTAAACAGCCCGTATAAAATAAAAATGTTAATCTATTAATTTCACCACTTGCTTGAATATTGTATCACTTGGTTGCAGTAGATGGATGCCTCATTTTTGGTTTTATTTTTTTGAATATTATGCATATATTTTATCATAGTAAAATTAGAAACGAAAATGTTTCGTAAGATTTAAAGACATAATATTCTGCTGAATTCAAATATTTTCCCGGGATCAAAATCAGACAACGTCAACTAATTTTTCTCGAGCTAAAATTAATGGCAGTAAGTTTAAAAATTTGTAAAGTGAATTTTATATTGCCATCGAGTTAAGGTGGTTTCACATGAAGCGATTGTTCACGGGATGAACGCGATTTTAAGTCACCACGAACATTCGTTCAAAATTAAACAAGACCGATTTTTCGCAACTTGTATAGTTGTATCCAAACGATTATTTCTATGTGAACACTGTAACTTAAATATAGGTGTTTAATTTTGAGCGAATGATCGCGGCAACTTAAAATCACGTTTGCCTCGTGACATTCGTTTCGTGTGAAACCACCTTTAAAAATATATTGTGCATGTGCATTGTGCATACTAAAGAAGTATTCGCATTAAATTTTGGTCACACTAATAAATAATWATTATTTACAATTAACACGTCATACATTCCGGACGGCTAAGACGAGATTAGAAAAATTGTCTAAATGCTGCCCCTTAAATAATAGCCGTAGCGAGGCCTCTTGTTAGCTTTTCTGTAATTAATTTTTAATAGATACATAATATACATAATAAATACTTATTAATTAATTTTATAACTTCTAATACTACTGGTATAGTGGTATACCTAATTTAAATTTAATGGTCTTATCTCAGTATGATTTATGATTTATCCATCTTGAATATTTGAATCTTAAATTACCACTGAAAAATAAATACGTTTATAAAACCCCTTATGCATAGGCAAAAGTATATGCAGTTATTGCGGTTATATATTCCTCATCAGAACTGATAAGTGATAAGTGGTAAAGCACGAGAGCTGCTGCTATCTTCTTAGCTTGTTCACTGTTCAGCTTGTTGTAGTTTGTTCTACATCTAAATTAAATTTATCAAATCATTCTAATAAATAATTTTAAATACATTTTTAGTTAAATGTAAGTGTGTTAACTGTTAAGTACTTATTTTGATGTTATTTTAGATAGTTTCATACTTATAAGTTGTAATGCAGTATAATACAACGTTTTCAAATATGCATCAAGAGAATTTTTCTACTCGAAACCAAGTAAATGAAAACAATTTTTCTCTTTTTGACAGAAACTTGAAAAGAATTAATAAAAATCTTATAGAAGTTAATGAGTATTACTCCTCTAAAAATGATTATTCAGATTCAGTTATAAATCATTCTCTTGTCACAAGTAGCAAACAATTTAATGAACCACTGGATGTAAATATTGATGAATCTTTACATTTTTATGACGAATTTAAGAAGATTAAAACAAATGAATTTGAAATAAGTAGAAAAATAGATTTACGGAATATATTAAACAAAAAATTTGATACTTTGGAACAGACAAAAAGAGAATCTTCTAAAATACCAAAAAATGTTGATGAAGATTCTAAGTGTACCATTCGTAAGAGACTCACTATTGACAGAAGTTATAATATTAAACAGCTTAATTGCAATAATGATMAATTTCAAACTAGATTACATGAAGAACAAAATACATTAGATAAAAAAAATATAAGTATGAAGTTTTACTCCTCTCTCAATAGTGCATTCAGTTTATTATCAGGCATAAAAAAATTATTAAATGAAACTCATATTATGACGCCACAATTACTTAGTAGTTATGGACACAACTGTATGCTTCTTGAAACAGCTTTAAATGAATTAAAAAATAAGTCTTCAAATATTAATGAACAAGATATCTCGATTATCAACCAACATCAACAAACTATTCAAATATTTTATGATCAGTTACTGAAGATACAAGTTGAACATGTTTCATTCAAAATTGATGGCCATAAAAATGAAGAGAATGATATACCAACTGAAAATATACTTAAAAACAATGAGAATAATAATTACCACGATCAGATATTAAAAAATAAATCTGAAGAAATTAAAAATGAAATAAACAATTTTTCTTTTGTTAAAAATGAAAATCCTGTAGTTAAATCAGACGAATTTTTCACATTTAAGTTTAACACAGATAAAAAAGTTGACTGTAATATTTCAGATTTTTCTTTTAAAACTAATAAACATTYAAAACATGAAGCTATTCAGAAAGATTTATCTTATAATTTTGAAGATGAATATAAACAATTTTTAGAAAATCATCTAATTATTCAGAAATATTTACAAGAAATTGAAAATAGTTATTTTTCTTTTCTCTGTAATGATAACCTAAAATCTTTAAGACAAGAATTAGTCAAAGCTATTAATACACCAGTTAATAGTATATCTTCAGTATCTTCATGGCATATGAGAGACAAATTTGAGAAACTTGATGCATTACTAAAGTGTAAAACAGTGAAAACTGGTAATTCTACTGTAACAGCAAGTAGTCATCAAGATGCATTAATATTTTGTAAAGATACATTGGCTAAAAAAATAATAAATATCGGTGAGCAAGTGGCTAGTGTTAAGACAGAAACTGCTTTTGAAGTTGCATCARTTGTTACAGAACTTTGGAAAATTCATCCAGACTTTGGTATTTTGCTGTACGCTAGATTWAAACAAAAATGTCCATGTCTTATCCCATACAATGCTGAAAAAACAAATGAAGAAACTGATGAGGAATATTATAAATCATTATGTTATAACTATACAAATGGAGTTGTAGAAAAACAGGATAAGTATGTAAAAAGAATGACTGGTATTATAAGATTATTTGCAGCAATCATAGTAACTGAATCTAAGAGCGGTAAAGCATTAAGTATTGGACAAGCCTGGATGCTGATTGCAGCAACTGTAAATTTAATTCCTCAATTAGATGTAACAGCCATTTTTTTACATGAAATACTGATGATAACTGGTTATAGTCTTAAACAAACTTATGGAAGACAATTTATCAAAATGTTGGAATACATAAATACCAATTATATGAAAAAGATTGAAGAAGTAACACCAATTGGTTGTGGAGGTCCAGTACAAAGGCTAAAATCATTTATCAGTAAAGTTATTCAAGTYGGTTATATTGAAAAACCTAAAGGTATAATACCTCATAGTTTTTGGTAAATAAAAATTGACCATGTATGGTTTTTATTTTGTATAACCATATTTTAAATTTTTGATGAAAATAAAAATAAAATTATTGGAATCAAATGTATGTGAATTTATTTAAAGTGTTTTCATATTAAAATCTTTTAAATATGTTATATAAAAAGTTATATAAAAATATATTTAAGTAATATTTCAAGTTCCTATATATAAATATCTAATGTATACCTATTTTTATATACAATGTAATATAAGTATATAACTAGATAAAAAATAATTGTAATGCATAATATTTTGGAAAATGTAATAAATGTACCTATACACCTTGTACACTTGTGTCTTGCACTAACTCATGTAATGCTCTACAACATTGAAACATTTAAAATTACACGGCAGGAAAAAGTTGTTTATGAGTCATAACCGTTATCTGTTGAATTGTTTAATTAATATACAAATTTAAATGTTATTTACACTGATATTATGTCTCAGTAGACATTGATGACCTCTTTTACTTGTCATATTATACAACCATATGATCAAAGTATCACATTTACTAAAATATTTGTTGTACGTTTATTTTTCTCAAAGAGTATGAACACTTGCTTGTCCAGAAAATCGTTGCTTGAAAGTATTATTCTTGATAAATAATTATAATCAAAAATTAGAATATAACATAACAATGAAATTCTTAAGGATATATTATTATCTACGTTAATACTTTTAGCTTGTCAATTAATAAATTTAGTTGTATGTTTGATATGACGAATAATAAATAAATAAATAAAATTAATTCTGGAAATAGTGCAAACAAGAAAAAATCTTGAGGGGCTTCAGTCCTATGATATTTTGTTATATCATATTATTTACATATTATTTGTTGTATAATTTTGTAATATATACATAACATAAATATATTTATCTTATCGATGCAACAATGCTGTATATTAAACCCGGTAAAAGAGTTAGGCAAAATAAATGAAGTAAATTTTGTGTACTGTTAGAGGTTTTTTTTTAAGATTTCAACCCCATCTAAGCCCCTATTATGTAAACCACTGTTCGTAACACACTTTAATTTGTTATGCGATTTGGTAGTCATTAACTAAAAGTAACTAACAAGAACACAATTGATATAAGCAAATCAAGTAAAGCTAAAATATTAAGCATGGAAGAGGGCCTAATACTTACCTGCACTATAATATATTTTATTATATCATAAAAAAATATATCAAATAAATAAAATAATAAAAAGAGAGCTTAATAGCATTTATAATGGTGTATTACATTAAATCAATGATACATATTGTCTAATAATGAATATAATATACGATACAGTTGGTACATAAACATTTATTTACATTTAAAATTAATTCTTATACAACTATTCTGACTGGTTTTAATTTTAATAAATACTTGATTAAATTATACAAATAAAACATAATAATATAATTATACTCAGTTTTAAGTAGTATTTTTTTTTTTACATTTATAATGCTATTATTAGAAATTACTATCAATCAATTTTTGATCTTGATATTTATACATGTTGAGAAATGTATATTGAATAGGGTACTTGTAAATTCAAATAGAATACAGTAATATACAATAGCTGCAATGTTATAACTCCTAATTATTTTTTTAACTGCAAATTGAAATTATAAAAATTAGGTAAAATCTCTAACTATAATTAATAAATATTCATATTTTGGTTATAGCTTACAGTATAAATATTAAAAGTGTGCAATAGTAATAAGTAATAACGACTGACTTAGCCAATAGCTGTATATAATACTGAGAAATATAAATAATTTTTCTGCATCTTCAAATATAAAATATAATTATTTAATATGAAATGTTCTTATCTTTAAGGTAATTTTACTGCACACTAAAAATGGAAATTTTTTATTTTTCATTTATACCAATAGGTTATCATCATATAATATTTATGTTGTAGAAGTAAAAAATGTTTGATTCTTAATGTTTTAATTATTATGTAGATAGCTCAATACAGTATAATATAATTTATTTGTATATTGTATAAATATTTATTTAAACATTTTTTAATTTTTTAACATATTTCAATATGTAGTATTTTGTCGCTAAGTATTCCAAGCATCATTTAGATAAAAAAAAAATGCTGAATATAAAGAATATTAAATTTAAAAATGACTAATAGATTGGTAGAAATTTTATACAATCCAAAAATTAATACATTATTGCGAGTAATATATTCTATAATACAACGTTTTTGACCTCCATAAACTATAGGAATTATCAAATTTAAGTAAATAAACTCCTTCCCCAGGATATAAATGGCTTCCAGCATAAACTTCCTTGTGACAGTCTCTTCGGTATACTGGTATTATTATTGACAATGGTGGTCGATTCAACTGATTACTCTTTTTTAGGTCTTTAATTGTAACACCATTTTGTTCCAATTCATGAAGTAAATCTAATATAAATTATTATTTACTCACACACGCATATATACAGGGTGATTCTTTTATCAAACAACACTCATTATTCAAAAAAGTATAGACTTTTCAAATTTTTTTTTCAAAATTGTAGATTTACACTGTTCTTAAATTCTTTATTTTTTTTATATTTTTCATCCTTATATTTATTAGATAAACCACTATCAACTTTTGATTTTCAAATGGTAACCTATACTTAAAATTTCATAAATTAATAAAGCTATTTTTTTTTATTAATTATTAMGTTAAAATTTYGAATTTAGYGCTAGTAGTTTATGAGTTATAGGTATTTAAAGTTTAGATTGGC